AGGGGGAGAGGCCCGTTCCCGCTCTCGAGCAGCTGCCACCAAATTGCGCACAGGGGCACACAGGAGCGCCCGGGAAAGACGGCTCTCCAGCCTGGCGGTGGCCCGATGCAGCGACCTGCTCCTTCAGCCAGGCGGTGACAGCCGGACAGCGAGCCTTGGGGAGGAAGACAGGCCATGTCTGGGGGGCATGGGGCGTTGGAGGGGCATTGCCCTGGGGGCCCTTTTGGACCTGGGGAGCCTAGCAAAAGACCCGGGGGCTCCATAGGCAAAGGCTGTGATGCCAAAGCTGGAATTTTCCAGGAGACGAAGGTTGGGGGGCCCGGGACGCCTGGGCCCTCCCTCCAACTTTTGGGGACTGTTGGGGTCAGGGATTTGGGCTCTGCAGTGCTAGAAGCCACCAGTGGGGAGACTAGATTGGGGAAGAAACCGGAGGGAACGATGCCTCCAAAGATCCGGAGGGGCACGTTAAGCCCATTCATGGGGCTGGCCCCCCTGGCTCATTTGGGGCTGAGGCAGCGCCCCCCAATGCCCTGGGCAGTTGTGGGGGCCCTGGCAGTGGGGCTGCTGGCTTGCCTGTTCATGCTGTTCAGCATCCAAGGACGCCTGGAGATCTTGAGAGAGGAGCTAGCCGGGCTGCGGAGAGAAATCTTCTGCGAGGCATCTGCGATGGCGGGGGACCAGGGCAGCCCCACTTCACAGCAGGTAAGAGAAGAGGGGGCTCCGCAGAAGACGGGTTCGGGCTCTTGGCCCTTGTAGGCTCCAGACATGGCCCTGCCCCCTGCTTTTGTGCAGTTGTAGACTTGACTGAACTCACCTTCAGTTGTGCCCGAAGTGAACTTTGCAGTGCAGAGACACAGCCCAAGACCCATATGGCACTGCCCCTCCCACCCCCAGTTTCCCACAGATAATAGGTTTACAAATCCTCCCATCATCCCCAGCCAGCACAGGAAAAGATGGGAACTGAAATCCATCATGCGGGGGACGTCTGACGATGCTGCATGAAGCCAAGGGGGCTTTAATGCAGTAATGAAACAATAGATATGCTTTTTTTTCCCCCGGATTCCTCTCAGGCCAAACTACCTTGGCCTAGCATTGACCTAATCTCTGCTCCCCAAAATCTGGATGGACTGATCAGAGCCAAGGGGGCCTGTGCAGAACGAGTGCTGTTTTTCGGGGATGAGGGGTTGGGGAGTGGAAACGCTTTGGGGGAAGTTCTGAAGTGAAAAAAGTTGTGAACTTTGTCTGTTCTCGTGCAATTTTGCCATCTCTACAAGCTTCACACTCTTATTTTGATTTTGTTCCTCTGAGGATTAATTTCCCGTTAATCTTCTCCCCGCTCCTTAAAAAAAGGAAACTTTTGCTCAGCTTATGTGTAAGAAATTCCAGCGAGGTTTCCTGACTTCAGGATTTTGCAGAAATTAGATGATTTCTTTCTGCAGATCCAGCTTTCCACTCTCTTTGCAGTGTAAAGAGTACATTTTCTTACCACATGACGCATTTCTTTGCTGTCACGGTGGTGTGTTTGCACATCAACGTTCAACTGTCAGAATGCTACCTTTTGCCACTGTGACCTCGTTATATGCAAAGTAAGAAGGAAAGAGCCATGTCTCTGAGCACATGCAGAGTGTCTGATGGAGGCTTAGGGGGTTCGGGGCTCCTTTGCACCAGTCCCCCTGAAAGCTCCGCACCTGGGTGAGAAAAATCCACTCTGCGCATGCTGAAGGACGAGCGAAGCCATATCCCGTATCTCAGACGGGAGCTTTGCTCTCGCTTACGGCCGACAGCCAGCGAGGCCGTGGCACAAGTGCCCAGGCGCGTTGGCAGGCAGCCACAAGAAAACCCAGGAGCCCGAAGCTCAAAGCCAGCTTGTTCTCCCCTTCCTTATCTGTTAAGGCTTTCCTTTTGAACTTTCTGTTCTTGCTTTTCAAAAACAATATAACTCCCACGAGAGCAAGGCGGAAGCAGCTTCTGGTAGTCCATAGGTGTGAAATTTCTCTTTTTTTCAAGGGTGAGAAACTCTAAGCCAGGCTGCTTCCTGAAAAGGGCTGCCAACTTTTCTGGACAGCCTCTGCTCCTCGGTTTTTAGACATTGCTAATCAAGCAAGGAACATTGACTGCCCTTCTTCCTTCAGCCCAACTCGGTCCATTTTGGATTTTGCAGATTTGAAAAGCAGCTGAATTAGAGATTTGAATCACCACAAAAGGGGCGTGAAAAACTCCCGTGGGGAGTTTCAGACGTGTGGTTGCTCCCTTGCAACGGGAGAGGATGTCCTCCCTGCCAGATGCTGCTTGTGGCAGCCCTTAGCCGAGCCCCGTGGGCACGTTCAGCCCAACGCAGCTCCCACGTCTTGCTCTGGCCAAACGTTGGCAGTGCCCGGGTGCCGCTGCTTTTGGTGGGCAAATTATTCGGGGGGGGCTGGGTTTGGAAGAGAAGCTGAAGGGCGCTCTCTGCTCCCTCCCCTGGTTTCAGAAGGCTGATGGGGATCCAGTGCTCCGCACGTTAAGGCCGAGATGGAAAAGGGATGTGGGGAAGACAACCCAGGAGCAGCCACCGCGTCAGCGCAGTGAGTAGACCATCAGCTGCAGGACCAACGAGGGTTAGGGTTAGGGTTAGAGGAAAGATAGCAGGTATAAACCACAACAGCAATACGAAGAGCCACACTTGGCGTCGATCCAGATGAGCCATGGTGTGATGCCGACCCTCCAAAGCCCTGCGAGGGGTCTGACTGAGCGGTCTTGCAGAAGGGCGTTCGGTCGGTGCCAGCCCCGCTTCTGCAGGCCCCCGGTCCTTTTTACCGGGAACTCCAATCTCCCCAGCCAGGGTGGCACGCTCTGGTCCGTCTGCGATTTTGTGAATGCCTCTTGCGGGCACGTCAAGCAGTGGAGCAGATGACTTCAGGAGCCAAACTGCAGGGTAGCCAGGAGGGGAAGTGAAAGTGATAAAGCAAGGCAGCCCGGATGAGGACGTTGTGCCCTTCGGTGGGTCTGTGGTTGTGGCTTTCAGCAAAGGCCCTCGAGGCAGAGAAAAACAGAGGCGTCACAACCGCTGGGCGTCTAATACGGGCAACGCCTCTCAAGCAAGCTTTTGAGCACCATACTGGAAGCCTTTTTATAAAACAAGGCGAGTCGTTGTCCTGCGGTTTCGAACCCAGTTGGCCGGAAGGTTTGCTAATTCTGCAGAGTTTTAATATTGTGGGGAGGGGCTGCTGTGGCTGGTGCCTATTTTATTGTCCACAGAAAAGGCTGTTTATAGCAAAACAGTTCAGGACGTTCGTGGCCCTGCTTTTATTGCAGGAAGAGCCAAACAAGGCCAGCTGGAACGCTGGACTTAGCTCTCATAAGTCAGCTGGCTCGGTTTTCAGGTCGGGAGGGTTGTCCCTGAATTCCAGGGATTCGGGATCTGTCAAGTTTTAGAAGGCATTTCCAGTGCTGGGCTCAACCTCATATCATTCACATCAGCATACAGGTTGTCCTTGACTTATGACCACAATTGGGACCGGAACTTCCGTCACTAAACAGTGCGGTTGTTAAATGAGTCGTGTCTTTTTTGCCATGATCACTAAGCAAATCACGTGGTCGTTAAGCAAATCTGGCTTCCCCCATTGACTTTGCTTGTCAGAAGGTGACTGGGAAGGTTGCCAATGGCGATCACGTGATCCTGGGATGCTGCGACCATCGTAAATGCATGCCGGTTGCCAAGTGCCTGAATTTGGATGCTGTGACCGTGGGGATATTGCAGTGGTCGTAAGTGTGAGGACCGGTTGTAAGTCACTTTTTTCAGCACTGTTGTAACTCGAATGGTTGTTAAATGAATGGTCGTAAGTTGAGGACTACCTGTAAGGGAAAGTACAGTGTTTCTGAGTGCATCCAGAGGGCTTTGCCCTCATTGCAAGCATCCCTGTGCAGGTCCAGCCTCAGAGTCAGGGCTTATGTCGCCATCCAGCTATCTCTGCCTTGATCGGCAGGTGAGCCTGCCCGAAAAAAGGAACTGCAATGCCAGGTGAACTTTTGAATCGGCACCAGGGAAGCAGAGCGATTCTATCCAAGAATTGCACAAACTTGCACAGGGTGGGAAGCTGTTTGGGAGGCGTTATCGGTTAAACCCCAGTATTTTCAATTGTGTTTGCTCTCCACTAGAAAAACACTCGGTCTTGCATTTGGTCCCCACTCAACATTCCAGTAATGGTGAGTAGTAGATTAGGGATTGGAATAAATGATTATGATTATGATTATGATTATGATTATATACACAATAACGTGAAATCACTGCCAGTCCTTTAGCTGGTGTTGGCCTTCATCTGCATCGAGTCCTTCCCAAGAACCTGAGATGTCGTAAAGTGTCAGCGTAGCATATGCGTGGATCCAAGTGGGGTGGCCTTTTCTAATGGACAGATTTGGTCAATGCGCAGATGTTCTAAGGCTATTTGGTCTGGCGCTCAGTGTGCCGATAACCGCTGGGACCACCACGGCCGGTTGATGCCATAATCTTTCAACTTCAGTGTTCAGATCTTGATACCTTCTTTGTCTTCTCCCCTGATATTGCCACATCACTTATCCACTCTTTCTTCTTTTCAACCACCGTTCAATCTGGGGTGTTATTATTATTTATTAAATTTAAATGGCTGCCCATCTCACTTGCGTGTGACTCTGGGCGGCGTACGTAGTTAAAACCCAAGTAAAACCATAATCTTCTACCATTAAAAGCAATTAAAAAATTAAAAGCTACATTTAAATACAATAATAAAAAGACAGGAGAGTGCAACTTAACTATATACAACAGTGTTTCTCAAGCTTGGCAACTTAAAAATGTGTGGCCTCCAACCCCCAGGTTCCCCCAGCCCGCCATGCTGGCTGGGGAACCCTGGGAGTTGAAGTCCACACATCTTAAAGTTGCCAAGCTTGAGAAACACAGATATACAATGTACCCATTTAACGGGCTCCAAACAGGGCTAGCAACAATCGAGATGGCCACTAGATGGCAGTGGGGAGACCCTGGGTTCTGGATCTCTGCTGGCATCCAGCGGTCCCTCGGAGTACTGCAGCCCAGATACGATAGAAAGAACGAAAGGCCCTTGGAAGTCGGAGACTGTAAAAGGGAAACCTGTAGAAATGAGCTAAGCTCTGCAAATCCCGTCTGGTCCTGGAGTCCTGAGCTTCAGGCTTCGTGCATGGAAAGAGCAGGCTCTGTTCCCAACCGGATGAACTCCAGCCGCATTAGCCAAGGATTGTGGGAGTTGTAGTCCGCACACACGGGGAGAGATGCGTCCTCTGCTTTCCCGGCTGCTGGAAAGGAGCAAACGTACACCTGTATAGGTGAGCAGGGCCACCTGTCGCTTGAAGCAGATGAGGCCAAGCTGGAAAAAAAGCTAAAAATGATCGCCCCGTTGGGGGAATCTCCAGGACGGCCAGCCCGGAGATTTGTAAGTAAAATGCAAGCATTGCAAAATTGCGATCACACACACACACACCCCGCACTTTCTTGCTGAATGTCTTTCTCACCCAGGCAACTCTGGATCTTCCACGGGCCACGCCGGAGCACGTTCCTGGGTCTTGCCCCCTGGCCCACCTCCTCCCTCCCTTCCACGCAGCCACGCCAGCCGCACGGCCCCTCCTTTGCAAGGCAGAGCAGGGGGGCTGATGAACTATGGAGCATTTGGGGGGGCAGTGGCTGCCTTGGGGGCGGGAGGACTCATCGGTGGCTTTGGGGACCCAGCTCAAGGGCCGGCTCGAGACCGCCACTCGCTGGAGCCCTCCGGCCCCTTCCTCCCTCTGCCCCTCGACGCTGCCCACGTTTGCTCAGCTTCCCCACGCTGCCGCCGCCTCCTCCTCCCACTCGCATCTAGGTTAGAAAAACACCACAATGGCTCTTTTCTCGACTTGCTAATTTCCTTTTGGCTGGCATTCTTGGCATGTTGGCCCGGGGGATTAGCAATTTGGGCTGATCTTCCGCTGAGCAAATAGCCACAGGGTTCCTGTTCTTCTACTGGGCTTGTTCCTTTCCCTTAATTAAGGAATGAATGCCGAAGCCCCTCATAAATATATCTTTAAAAGCCCGTCCCTGTAATATTGTCAATTACCCTTTGGCTCCTGGAGAAAAGATGATAGATAAATCTAACAAATGAAATGAGATGTTTTGGTAGAGAGCGTGTGGGTGGGAGGGTGGCGGAGCGCGGAGCCAGCCACTTTTAAGTCCTCTTGCGATCAGGGCCAAGCTTCACCTCTTGAGTTTCTGCCTGCTCCATTAAAGACCCAGGCGTCCTGCGTGCAAGACAGATAAAGGCAGACAGGGCTCGGCTGCGGGTGGCGGAGGGACGGTTGTTGGTGGGGGGGGGGGCGTTCCGGTATGACCTCTTCTTTCCTCCCCCTTCACCCGCAGAGGAGGATGGTACCACAGAGATCTGGTGGGCGCCTT